CTTTGGACTTGAGGTCCCCAGAGTCCCTCTCTTAGAATGCCAAAGCACCAGGCTTGCCTTGTTGGCATACATAGACACATCCTTTGAAGGGCAGGTACTGCACAGCTCTGGGCTGCTTTGAGAACGATGCTGAAGTGTGGTGATGAAGGGGAGAATCTGAAACTAATACACCTGGGTTCAAAAAAAAAAAGTGCTATCATTGGCTTTGGCAGCTGTAGTCCTTGTCACCCAGTTTCCTTCCTTATTTGATAACCGGTTTTCTGTTTGTAATTATAAGTGATGCAATTTGATATAGAGCCAGAGGCAGCTGTTCAGAGTTAGACTGGTAGACAATTCGTAGCTTGAGGTCTGAGGCAAGAGGTGTCTGATCTGGTACCTATGCCTACGGTGGGCTCCTCTCACTCCTGAGACCAACTTTGCAACTTTGGGAAGAGGAGGGGCTTGTCGGCAGAATTTTCTGTCCCACCTGCCAACTCCCAAATAACCATACAGAGGCTTGAATCTTGTTAAACTAATAACTCTTTACAACTTAAATTAACCCACATTTCTCATCTGCATTCTACCATGTGCTTGGTACCTTTCCTCAGTAAGGCAGGCTCATCTTGCTTCTCCCTGAGTCTCCTAATAACCCTCCTCCTTTTATCCCCAAGCTCTCTCCCTGTCCGCAAGTCCTGCCCAACCTCTTCCTGCCTAGCCATTGGCCACTTAGCCCTTTAATAAGAGCAACACATCTATCTGCACAGTGTACAAAAGATGATTCACAACAGGGGACTTTGGTTAATCTTTCCATTTGAACTAGGCTTTCTTTGAAAGCCACCATCATTGTTGTTAGTATTGATAGAGTCAAAGAAAGGATAAAGCCCGTGTTTCCAGATCCATGGCAACCTCTAATAGATGACCACAGACAAGACTGTGCTGCACCCATTGAACCCAGTGTCTCACACATGCCAGGCAAGTCCTGTATCACTGAGTTGTAGCTTAGCCAACACTGCGAGATTTTTGTTTTTTCCTCAAATGGAGTCTCCAGGCTGCTCTAGAAGTAAGAAACTCAAGCAATCCTCCTGTCCCAACATCCTTTATAGTGGGACGACAGATATATGCCACCACGCCCTTCCCTTTGAAGAGCTTTGAATAAAGGTCTGAAATAGGCCAGCCTGTGTGTCTGTAGGTACAACCCACTGACTCCCTTGGTGGCAGCTGCCAGTCTCATGTTGCAGATGAGGTAGGGAGCTTTGAGGACCATTGTTGTTCTTCCCAGCGAGGCTTTTCCTCTCTGTGTGATCCTCAGAACACCAAAGAGTTATTGTGTCCTTGGCCTTGCTAGGAAGTCTTTCCTGGAGCCACCACGGTTTCCCTGGTCTGTCGTACTCTCCCTTCTGATGGGTCGCACATCACACAGAAGTCTCCTAAATTTACTTTCATGGGCAGCTTTAACTTTTTTACCTTCTGGGTTTGATGATTTAATTATGGGATGTCAAGTGCTTTCCAGCCAGCATTAGTGAGCTGAACCTACCAGGAACAAACCTCTAAACTGCTCCTCCCCCCCCCCCCCCCCCCCCCCCCCCCGTTTATATCTCGTTAAGAGCTAAAATAAACATTATAGTTCCTAGAATGTACCAGCACACATCTAAAGCCCCTGTCATGTCAATGTCCCTGCCCATAAAGAAATTGAAATTGCCTTGGGACTGTAAAGCCCCATTTTCATCTTACCCTGCTTTGGTCATAGCCGGATGGTTGTTCTGGAAGCTAAATGGCACTCTAACCCAGAGCCTCCAAGGCTGGCATCACCCCATGTGCTAAGGCACCTTCAAAACTAGACAAGTGTTCTCTGTTGAATCTGTCTCGTGCCTCTTGCTATTGTCATACTTCCGGGAGCAGTAAGACGATAAAATAGTATAACATGACTTCCACACAAGCTGAAGTTAGAAATGCTGTCCCCAGCCCAGGTGCGCCCTTGTCAGGGAAAACTAACTCCATACCCTCTAGCATGTCCCCAGAGGAAGCATGCCCTGCAAAGCCCAACAGTGTGCATCCCCACAGCTTAGCACCTGCTGTGTTGGTGCCTGGAGTCCACTACCTAAATCTAAGCTGATCAGAGATAAACAGACCTCAAGAGGAAGGTTTACACAGCGTGGTGTCTTTGTCTTAGCCTATCTGTGGTTTCAGTTGACTATTGAGCAAAGTGGAGTAAAGCCAATGAACTGTTAATTCCTGTGTCTTGGGAGAGAGACCCTACCCCAGGCAGCTTCATGGAACTGTCAAAATTTCAGAGTTCAGTTCTTTGATCAGCTCAATTTCCTTCTTCAGAATTCTAAGTCTTGCATGTGGAGACCCTGGGTGTCCATTTTCAGAACTCGAAGCCAGTCTTCCACTGTCCTGACAATTGTGTATCTATCTCTGCCATCCCACTTAGATCAGAGTAACTGCCCTTGTTCCCACATCCCCACAGTCTTTCAGGGTGCCTAGCATTTTTAGGTAGTTCACTAACATCCCTGGGCTTATACCCCAAAAGTAGTGCCCACAAAGGTTCTAGTCAGTTAGTTCCTGCTGTAGCAAGATCCGCCTCTGCTGCTTTTGGTTATTTCCCACAGCCTGACATCCAGTTAGCTTGATGTTCAAAACTGTGACCCTCATTCTTCAGTGGGTCCTATGCCCGCATAGCCTAGGCCCTGTTTGCTCCCTTTTCCCATAGTCCATGTTGTGGCTTTACATTTAAAGCCCTGCTGACTTTTTTTAATTAATTATTTTTCTTCTCTCATATATTACATCCCCACAGCGATCTCTTCTCACTCCTCTCCTCCCAGTCCCTTCCCCCCACTTCCTCCCTCCCCCAGATTCACTTCTCTGTCAAAACCTTTCTTTAGGTGATTCTATTACCTTGTTTCTAGGTCTGAATCCCAATGTTTTTGTTTTTGTTTTTTTTTCCTCCATATACTAATTGCTGGAGCTGATTGTGCTGACTGCAACAGAGAGACCTGACTCCCGAAGTCAAATGTTCTGGGAGCCAGCTTTAGTGGTTTCTCCTTCAGCCGTTAAGTTAGTTATTGTACAGAGGGTGGTGCTGGCTGTATGACAAGGTCTTCTGTAGGTGTTCATTGATGAATTCTGCTTTTTCCTAAACCCTAGTACCAGGGTGACAGTCCTGTGATCCTCGCTGAAATGACATACAAGACAAATAACCCATCTGGCCATGGTGGCAGATACCCATCATCTCAGCATTGAGGGGGCAGATGCAGGAGGATCCCAGAAAATTTGAGGCCAGCCTTATCTGTATAAAGAATTAAAGGCCAACCAAGACTATATAGTGAGACTATTTGGGAATAAGAGGAAAATGGAGAGGGAGAGAAGCATATAGAGAATATGGATATCCAGTAATAAGCAATGCTAAACCCCTCATACCACCATGGTTGATCACCAGTCTAAGTTCCTGAATAATACTGCCGGTCCTGAGGCAGCCTTCCCCAGTGCACACAAATCGCCAGTTCTATCCCAGAGCAGAATCTAGGCTTTTCTTCGTGTAAGACTTTTGCCTCGGACAAATCTGTCCGTCCTTGTAGTTTAAGACTGCACACTGAACCTCCCTGAAACTTCAGCCCCTATGTGACATATACCCACCCCGGTGCTGACTGTACCAGGGGATCATTCTGTCTCCTATTGTATGGCAAGCCTTGGTGCCATACCAGGATCCTACTGCCATCCCGTGTTTCCTCTGTTGTAAGTACTTCCTAAGCTGGCATGCGTATTTTTTTGCTTTGAGGGTGTGTGAGACAGACTCTCACATCGTAGAACTGCCTAGCCGGGAACTTGCTGTATAGCCCTGGCTGTCCCCAGTTTGCACTTTAACTTTCTTGCCTTGGCCTCCCTCATTCTGGAGTTACAGGTACAAACCACCATGCTCAGCTCAGCATACTTCTGTTTCTGTTTTTGCTTTATTTATTTATTTGTTTACTTATTTATTTGGTTTTTCGAGACAAGATTTCTCTGTGGAACAACCCTAGCTGTCCTGGAACTTGCTTTGTAGATGCACAGAGGTCCACCTGCCTCTACCTCTTGATTGCTGGGATTAAAGGCCTGTGCCACCACCATCTGGCCATCCATTGTTTTAAAATCCAGTTTAGATCTTTGGCTTTATATCTTTTTCTGATTCCCCCAGCCTGTTGCATTAGGGTGGGCTAACCAGAGTCCTCAGAAATGCTTAAGCCCAAAGCTCCTCCTCTTTGCTCTTCTCCTGGCCCTGGCCCTGTTCAGACTTTATGGGCAGAAGTGGGGAGTCAAGGCAGCTACTTGGAAGGAGATTGGAATAGGAGACCTTCAAGGGGGAGATTTAAAATTTTCAGAGTCTTTTTAATTGTCACAGGCTGTTGATGGCTGCTTCGTGCTCCCTTGAGAACTGTGGACATGAATCTAATGAGTTGTCCAGCTGGTCTGGTGATGGTGAAAGTCTGTTTTGTGTATATATATATATTCAAAAGGGGAGGAAATTCTCTCTTTTCCCTGCCCCCAAGAGTGAGTGCTTGAGGTTCTGAGTGGGACATATGCTTTAGTTCCTGCTCTGTGTGGTTCCATATGTGTATGAAATTACGGATAGGTTTTATTTCAGTCATTCTCTACTCTGCGGCAGGGCTGCCGAGAGTAGTGGTGACAGTGGCCGTTTGCTTCTTGCCCTCTCGAGGAGGTTTTTTCTTATTTTTTCTAAGTGGGTCAGAGCCAACAAAATATTTGAGAAGCACAGTCTTAAGCATTAAGGTGCACTCAGCATTTGTTCTCAGATTCCCAAGGTTATCTTCTCCTTCTGGTTTGGTAACAGGCCAAGGTTGGCTTTCTTCATATGTAAATGCATGGGCTTCAAGGTTTTTTATGACTCTACCCCCCAACCGCCACCTCCACTCCCACCCCGTGTAGGTTCAGGTGTGAATATGTGTGCAGGCCCACGCATACAGTGGTGAGAAAGAGTTCAGCGGGAGCTGTCTTTCCTTATTTATTTATTTTTCTCGAGACAGGGTCTCTCACTGAAGAAGCTGGACCTCATCAGCTGGCTAGAGCTGGGATTGCAGGTGGGTACTGCCACGCCTGGCCTTCTGGTGGGTGCTGGGGATCTGAACTCAGGTCCTCGCTGGTACAGCAAGCATTGTACCTACTGAGCCTTCTCCCTGTCTCCAGGTTCAAAGTTCTTAACTTTTGACCTGTCAGTCAACCGCAGATGAAAGATCCATTCTGTCCCCTTCTTTGAAAACAGATCACTAGATTTATACGTTTGTTCCATTGCATGTTCTTCTCTCTCTTTTCTCATTGAATCATCTAGAAGCAGGCTGTAAAAACTGTCGTTTCACCTCCAAATACTGTAGTGTACATTTCCGAAAGCTGGGGCAGTTCTTCCCTGTAGTCCAAGGAAAGTAATGTCCTATTCTGAACTCTCCAGCTGTCCCCACGGATTTTTCTTATGGTTAATACTGACATTGCTTCTGATTTAGAATTAAGAGTCATTTGTGTGTGTGCTTCATATGACTATTTAATCTGTCACACTCTCCCCGATTCGTTTATTTCTCTATTTTGTTCTGAGGCCCGGGGTCTCAGCATCCCAGTCTGGTCCTCCCTACTCCGCCTATAGTTTCCCCCATAACACCGCATTTTTTAGTGACAGGGTCTGGCTATGTACCCCAGGCTGGCCTCAAGTTCGTGATCCTGCTGTCTCCCTAGCGCCAGGGTTGCGGGTGTGGGCCACCTTAGAGGGTTTTCAGTTGCTTTCTAGTTGCTGACCCACTTTGAGGGTCTATTTAAAAAGAATGTGTAGACGTGAGAACAGCTTGTGAAGATGCTGGTCTCGGAAATCTCCTACCCTGTTGAGCCTTTCACTTTGCACTCGGCGCTATCGCGTTGAGCTTAAAAGAATAGCATCTGATGTCGAGAAGCCTTTTATCGAAAGAGCTTGCGCGTGCTTGAGGAGAGATCTTTGGGGAAACTCGCCGCAGATTTTAGCACAAGGCTGAGGGCATTGCTCAGTTTGCTGTGCAGGCATGGGACCTGAGTTCAAATCTCTAGCACCCAGGCAAAGCCGGGTGTGACTGTGCGTGCCTGTAACCCCAGTGCTGAGGGACTGGAGACGGGGTAACTGGGACTTGTCGACTGCCAGTCTAGTTCCAGATTCAACAAGAGAGCCTATCTCGAAGGAATAAGGCAGAGAATAACAGAGCAGAATCCCCAGTATCCATCTCTAGCTTCCCCACAGGTGATGCTGAGTGTACGCATGCAGAGGGACCACACATGCATAATAAATCAAATACATTTTTAAAAATTTAGCACAGCTCATCTAATAATTGGTTTCACTATATTAAATTTGAGAGTTTTTATAGAAGTTAGCTGTATTAGCCATGAACATGGTGCGGTTCCCTGTATTTCTTTCATTTCCACTCTTGAAACTTGTGCCTCCTAATTATAGTTGGTAATGTTTCTGGCTTTTAATTTTTGAGGCAGTTATCAGACAGAGTGGCCCCTCAGCCCCGCTGCACATCTGAACATGCCTCTTATTGGGCTTGGGAAATCTTAGATCCCTCCTTTTCCAAATATCCCCTTCAGTGATAAAGTCTGTCTCCTTAGCTCCTCTTCCAGAGCAGACTGTAGCCTGCGTCTCCACCATTCCCTGGTGCTGCTGCAGCCAACGCAGAGTGTGTAGAGGTGATGACGGTGACATCACGTGTGGCTGCTGCATTCAGGACGCCACAGCGGCTTTGGATATCCGCCTAAGATGTGCATGAGATCCAGCCAGTCAGTAATTCTGACTCACCAGCCCTCACTGCCCGCTGAGAATCTGTGGGCCGTGATGGCTGTGGGGGTGGGGAGAGACCTTCTTATAGGTATACCTACTGGTAGCGTACAACCCCTCACACCAGAAGCACTAATGGATTCAGTGGACTATTATAAAAACAGAACATGAGAGTATAAGAGGCACGTGTTATGGGGTGGTCTGGGGTAGTGGGAGGAGGTGGGGGCAGTTCACGTTGGCAGTTAATGATCAAGATGCATTGTATGTATGTATGAAATCGTCAGAAAGTGTGTGTGTCTGTCTGTGTGTAGAATGCCTGAAATAAATTTCCAGTCTTCTTATTCCTAAATGGAGAAGTCTCTCTGCTCTTTCTGGTAATACAGCTGAGAAGCAAGCCACCTCCTAACTCCTTATGATTGTTAGCTGTGTGACCTGTGTCTCCTTTCAGACATTGAGCACCGCAGGTTAGGTTGGTCTCTGAAAAGGTTTTGTATGTAGATTGATACAGGGTGACTCCCTGTGTCAGTGCCTTGCTTGTTTTGTTTAGCATATCTGTGAGGTCCATCTCTGAATAAATGTGATTTACTCAGTTCTAACATCTGCACGGTGCTGAGGTTTTGTTCAGTGTAACGTTGAACCCATAAATAAATCTGAAGAGAACTGATGTCTCTACAAAGATTTTCAGTCCATGATACATCCTTCTGTTTATTGTCTTTAATTTTTGCTAGTGCTTTATGGGAATCTTTTATTAGGTTGTTTTAGGTCATTGTTATTTTTGTTGCTATTAAAATTTCCATTGCATTTTAATTGTTTGGGGGGGGGGTGTTAGGATTCAGGCATTATACTAGCCTGTCACCTGACAGGATGTACTCAGGTAGTACCCTGGCCAGCCCAGGGTCCTATAGGCCTGCTACGTTACTCTGTACGCACAAAATGCCTCTTTTTAAGAGACAGGCTCAGCCCATTCCCACTCTTTCTTGCTGTTCTGAAGAGGTAGGCATGAGTCTGTCTGTCCTGTTCTATGCGCCCCCCTTTCCTTTCCCTTTCTTCAATATACTCCCTACTTAAGCTCTGTCTGCATGGCGTATTTGTCTTTTGCCCTCCGTGGGGTCTCTTGGCTCCTTCCTGCCAAAATCCCTCTTGTGCATAAACATTATAGGTGGCACATGCCACAACATACATGTGGCCATCAGGTGGCAACTTTTGGAAATTGGATCTCTCCTATCATATGGCTCTTGGATCAAATTGAATTTTTTGAGCTTGTTGGCAGGTACTCACTGATCCTCTTCACTGGCCCTAAATGTACTTGACTTTTATTTAATTTATTCATTTTTATGTATGTTTTTGTAGGTGGGATTTTCTGTCCTGCCAGTCAGCTCCCAAATAACCACAGAGACTTATTAATTAAAAATGCTTGGCCAGTAGCTTAGGCTTATTACTAACTAGCTCTTACATCTTAAATTAACTCATATTTCTTATGTATCTTTAACCACATGGCTCAGAACCTTTACTCATATGAGATGCTCATCTTCTCCTCGAGATTCCACCCTTCTTCATTCCTCCACTCTCTCCCTGTCTGCAGGTCCCACCTAACCTCTCCCTGCCTAGGGATTGGCCGTTTAGCTCTTTATTAAACCAATGATAGCAACACATCTTCATAGTGTACAGAAAGACTATTCCTGCATGTTTTGACTGCATGTATGTATGAGTACCATGCATTGGTGTCCTTGGAGGTCAGAAGAGGGTATTGGATCCCAGAAGCTGGAATTACAGAAGTTTGTGAACCACCATGAGGGTGCTGGAAATCAGACCCAAGTCCTCTGCAAGAGGACCATGTGCTCTTAACAACAGAATCGCCTCTCTTCCTCTCCAGCCCTGTAAATATATTTTCTTATTTCATATTGCCTTGGTTACAGCTGTAGATGGTTCTTTTTTATATGGACCTTGTAACAAATGACAATGCCAGTTGAGCCTATTCATTTTTATTTTTTGTAAGAGTATTTATGTTTTCTTTGTGCCCATCCAGCCCATCTGAAGAATGGCAGTTCAGTTTTTTCTGATCCCTCTGTGTGTATGGTTTTGGTTGTTTTCCTTTCCTCCATTGTTGAGGACCAGCTGGTTTGTGGATTGTTCCTGTGCCCCACGTGAGGAGTTTCCTAGTCTGATGTGATAAAAAGCTTTGGGGTTGAGTTGGATAGATAAACACAGTATCTAAATTTAAAATGGTATTATAGTGGGCTCTGAGACAGTGCTGTACTTGGTAATATATGCCTAGATGTGGGCTTAATTATAAATGTTACTGTCTTAATTTTCTTTTTTTTTTTTTTTAATCTGTATTTGGGCCTATAGAGTTGTGGTCAAGTAGGAACCTGAAGAGGACTCAATGTTCTTGCCGCAGAGGTGGTTTAAGAGAGGATGGGACAGGATACAGGTCTTCTGGTGTGTTGGCAGCTGTCTGAACGAGCAGAAGGCTTTGGCCAACTGGACTGTAGAAGGGGAATGAGACCTTGTAGGTGGAACACGCGAACAGAAGGCATGGATTGCAAAGCATGAAGACTGTAGGCGTGGGGAAGATTAGCAGCCAGTGGGAGTGAAGGAGGATTCCGGACATCTGTGTGGTAGAGGAGGGCAAGGTGTCTGTTCCTGGGTGGATTGGGTGCCAGGTGTGCCCCGTCTGGAAAATGCGTGGTAAACATGAGGCCACCGCCACCTGATTTGGCTAAAAAATTTTTTATGCGTTTTCTGATTGGACTTTCTTTCCCATCTCTTAAGCTACTTTTTAAAACTGCCTCCCGGAAATAGGCTCTTGCTTTGCAGCCCATGGTAACCTTGAGCTTATGTTCTAGCCTCTGAGTACAGGGACTTTAGCCACCTCCCACCATGCCTGCAATCACGGCTGGCTTTCTTTACAATCTTTGTAGGTTTTTGTTTTGCTTTGTTTTTGTTTTTGAGACGTGGTTTCCTATGGCCCCGGGCTGGTCTCAAAGCTGCTCCAGGACTGAGGATGACTTTGAACTCCTGCTCTTCCTGCTTCTACCTCCCAGGTTCTGGTATTACACACCTGAGCCACTATGCCCAGCTCCATCAACTTTTCTAACTAGACTTTTTTCTCTTATTACCTCTGGGAGACTGTAATAAGATACCTAAGAACTGCTTGGGCAGAAATCCTGGCAACATACTAATTGAGAGACCTTTCCTTTTTTCCCCTCCATCTGTAAATGGCAAAAGTGCAAATAATGTTTCCATTAGGTTGGAAAGACTTTATGGAATAAAGTAAACCATGGCATCTGGCAC